ATTTAAACTAGCCTATTAAAATTTTTGGTTTAACAGTCATACCAATACCTTAACAAAGTCACAACTGACAGAATGATAACTTCTGAGGGGTTTATCTCTTTCTTTCTTTCTTTTTCTTTCTTCCATAATTCTTTTTTTTTCTTTTTTTCTTTTTTGAGAAAGACAGGAAGACATTTAATTTTTGTGAATTCTATAAAACCTGAGTACAGCAGTTTGTAACAGCCTCTAAGGAGAGCTACAGTAAGATAAGAATGAAAATATATGTTCTGGACACTGGAAAAATCAAAGCCCTCTATAGCATAGATAATAACTTCAAACGGTACACAAGTTTTGACTCGTTATAGCATTACTAGAATATTATGTGACAAGATGTCAGCTAGTAATACATTTACTGTTTATGAATTCATTTCATACAAATAAAAATACTACCACATATTCCATATACATAGTAAAGTAATTCAAATAAAGGAAGAAGATGAGCAAAGTCAGTCTAAAAGGCCCAATTCAATGACACCCCTGCCTAATTCCTGAGCACATGTTCAAAACTTACAAATCACTACTTAAACATAAAAATGGATCAGGATAATAAATCTACATAAACTAACGTTCTCAAACTTCCACCACCACATCTTGAGAAAAAGGCACATGTGACAGGACTTGTCATGACACAAACTGGTCATATTATAATATGCAAGCCACAGAAGGTTAAAAAAGAGGCATGTTTTGAAGCAGCTCATGACAGTTCATGCCACACTTCCTAAATTCCATAAATTCTATTTCTGGTACTTTCCATCTGTCTCCTTCTAGCCAAAAAACTGGGTCAATGAAGCCGAAGTAATGGCTGGAGTAATCTGTGTCTAGTCAGTAAATGTACCCTGTCCCAGAGCAGTCATCCAGCACATTTCCCTGCTCTGTACAGGCTGTATCCATAGGCAGAAGTGGAGCCAAGCATCACTTCAACTGGACTCGATAGCATTCCTCAGTGACACTGACACTAACCTAATCAGCCTGTCCATGGCACTATGAGGATGGGACTGAACAGAGAAACACTTTTGTGTAGGCATGGCTTATGTCCACCATACAACTTCAGAGAAAAGGTTATCAGGAATGCTTTTAGATCAGAACATCAGAAAGGCAGGCTCAATGTTCTCAGCAATTCCCCCATAATCTGAGGTACAGAAGACAGCCTTAGAGAAAGGAAGAAATAGCAACAGACCATCTTCCTCTCTCTCAGACAGTGAGGAAGAAGAGAAGGAAAATCTCTCGATGCTGTCACAGAGTCAGATAATTTGCTTCCGTTTCTCAGTATTGAACAGCTTCCACTGGAACATCAAACAGGAAGATGGCAGAGCTTCTGGGGGATAAACTAGCACCCATAGTGACTATTTTTATTTAGAGATAGCCAAAAGCTAATAAACAATTTCATTTTGCCAGTAATTAGCTATAAGCACGTGAAAAGGATATAAAAGAAAAAAGGGTGTTCTTTACAAAAAAAAGACACAGCATCATTAATATTAGTAAGTTAAAATAAAATTCATCCAGATCTCATAAATTATCCATGAGATCTGATTAAATGCAATCAGATTCCAAGTGCTATAGTGTTGGGAACAGTGTCTTCAACTTAAATGCTTTTCTTATCTAGAAATGCCAGTAACAATGACCGCGGGCTACTTCATTAAGAATTCGGTCCCTGTTTGATAATATTTCATGACAGTTCAACAAGGTAATAATGATGTAAGTGTTCCTCATAATTGAAGACAACGTCCACCTTATACAAACTGCCAACAATGGAAGAAAATCAAGCCAAAGGGCCACTAGTCAAGGGAAAACCCCTTTCAAGAAAGGAATGCTGCAAAGCCAATTCTTCCTGAGTGAGCTATATGGGTTACACACCCATAGCTTGTCTCCCTGACAAGCCTATTGAGTCAGTTTTGAAATAATCAGTTAAAAATGTGTGGAGATCCTGTTCCCCAGTTATGGACTGACCTATATATTTTTGGCATCAGTTATTCCCTAGAGAATCTGATTTGACAGGCACTTAAGATTTGCAGTTAAAATTAATTAGAATATGGCCAAGGTAAGCAAGGCAACTTCCTAAGAAGATTAGTTTCTTCTGTTCATCAAAATATTTTGGGGGCTATGTAACAAGGTGAAAATAGACATCATTCGGGGAGAACAGAACTTTATGATGATTTCTGTACCAAACAGCAAATACTCTCTCACCAGCACAGCAAATTACTAAAACATGGAATAATCTCGTGTGTCAAAGCTAATTAATCTTAAACAGCAAACTATCAGCAAGTGATAGTTCTGATCAGGACGTAATCAGAGTAGCATGCATATGATAGCTTTCAAGTTGATTTGTAGCTCTAGTTTATTTTTTCTAATATTAGAAGTAGATAACTTCAGTCAGAAAGACTAATGTACTAAAAGCACATGCCCTTGATGTCTAAACTACTAGGGACTGATGGAGTACAGGGTTTAAAGATCAGCAGGGCTGCTGTTTTGGCAGTGGGTGAAAAGAAAGGTCTGTAAGATGCACATTTTGTTGAGGCCTTCTTATATGTAGTTTATACGGACTTATTTGCATCTATCAAAATTGCCTCTTTGCCTCTGCTCCAACTCCATGAGCGACCCAGTACCACTTAACTTTTCCCTTAAGACAAAATGAGGAAACCAGTCATGTGAGGAAGTAAGGAATAGAAAAGGCAAGAGAGTCAAGTAAGTAGGGACGTAGATAAGCAGCAGAGAACTGTCTGAATACTAGCAAAATTCTCCCACACAATTTAAGGTCATAAAGAGTTAAGGATGAGACCTTATTTAAAAGAAAGGCGCAGAAATTATTTATGAATAATTAGACCCTTGAGCTGCATCATTCATAGCATGTTCTCTGTACTGGGGTGCACATCAGGAGCTGAGACCAATGATTTTTTGCCTCAGCAATTCCTTGTAGGTCAGCAGTGACAAAGATTCAGCCCCTGGGCTGTATCTGGCTCACAGAGCCCTAGGATCCAGCCTGTAAGTCTACTGACTCCATGATGCACTCCAGCCATGATACACATGCTAGCCCCAGCCGCACACACTACATGTTCACATGGAGCCTCCCTGGTGTGCAGCACCCATGCCAGACTAGGCCTCCATGCTGGCTCTGGGAATAGATCAGGTCCACAGACTCGCCCTGCATGCTGGAATTGGTGTGCAGAGCCAGTCCAGCATGGGTACTGCAAGCAGTGTTCACACTGTGCCAGCTTCAAGTGTGAGCCCAGTCAAAACCAGCACATGCTGCACGCAGCATTACAGGACTGCTTTGGGGCATGCACTACGTAAGCTGCCCATACCAGACTGGCTCTGTCCACTGGCTCTAGCAAGTGAAGCCACTGGCTCTAGCAAGTGAAGTCTGTGGGTCTGATCCCCCCACAAACCAGCCTAAACCCCTTATCCAGCCTGTGGGGCCAGATGAGTTACTGCCGTGTTGCAGGCCAATGCACTGATAAGATAAACATCAGTGCACACAGTCTGCACCCTGATTTCCTCTCAATCCTGCAGTCCTATACAATGTGTGATGCTTGAAAAAAAAAGGTAAAAGAGAGTGGGATATAAATATGCACATGGATAGCACATCTTGAAGAACTCCAGTTTATGGTAAGTAACCTCTCCCCCCGCCCCCCAAGACATCGTCTATATTCACACCCTTACTGTGGGTGACTCTAAAGCAACACCCACCCACATACACTTGCAGGCAGGTCTCAGAGTTCCCTAGGGAAACAGTGACTGATGGATGACCTTATCACATGCAACATCTGGTCTGGAGGTTTTTGCAATCATGTAAAGTTTAAAAAGGATATATCGAGTTCTGGGTAGCTCCCCTGCAGATGTCATTTATGGAGCCATTCTGTGGCTTTTGGAGACTATGGCCTGAGTTGCTGTAAAATCAGCTAATATCACAGGGCCACCTCCATTTGGGCAGCATAGTTCCATGCACCCCATCATGCACTTGGATAGGGAAACAGATAGTTGCATAAAGTTTTGGAAAGGCTTGATTTTATACAAATAGTAGGCCACGGCTCTTTTGATGCTGACTTAATGCAATAAAGTCTCAGTGAGCAGAAAGAAACCTTTGCTAAGAAAATAAATAGTTATATTGGCAAAAAGTAAAACAAACTAAAGAAAATAGCTTCTAGCCCTCTGAAAGAAAAGAAAGGGAAGAGGAGGACCAATAGGAAATAACAAGCCCTGAAGAGCAGCACGCTGTGGCACAGTAAAATAAGATGGGAGGGAAAAGTCATGTGACAGAGAGGCTGGCGGCAAAAGCCTTTCTATTCATTACTTCCTGTCTTCTCTCTCAGCAAAGGAGGAGAGAAGAAATGAAGCAGCAGGGGGAAAAGGGGAAAAGGTCTAGAAAAAATGGCCTTCAAAGTAAAGGAAGCTTACAAACAAGTCAAGAGGAATGTTACATCTCTTGTCCAGGCACTGAGAAGAAGGAAGTGTGCATCCCCCTTTGACCCCTAGGTATAGGGCAGAAGAGGGGGATGGAGTTAAAGAATAGCCTATGAGTATGGCTAGGGCAAAAAGTCTCCAGCTCAAGATTCATGGCAGGTGCAGAGCTCAGACTGAGAATGTGCACATGAACAATTATCTGAAGTGGTAGTATGAAAGTGAAGAGAGAGTGGGAAAGGGATTATACAAATTTCTCAAGGATAATCCTTTCATTTTTTATTCTAAGCATTCAAGATCTACAAAAAACACTTCTGTTGCATAGGCAAAATACTCTAGTTCCCAAAAGAAAATGCTGGAGAAATGACATGTAATCCCATTGCATATGCCATGTTTTCAGTCAACAGAAAACCAAACTCATAAAGAAAAATAAAAGAGAAAAAGCCATCTTGTAACATATGTAACAGAAGCCATCTTGTAACATATGTAACAGAATATTATTTTCAAAGAAGAATTTGATGTGCAGCATCAATGTAGTTTCTGAATCATATACATACATACAGTACCTGTAGAAGTATCCACTGTGAAAAGGGATGAAAAGTTGCCTGGAACAAGCTCATATGTCACACTACCATATATGCCAGAATCCCTATCTGTGGCAATGACATTCATGATTTCTGTTCCTGGCGGTGTATGACTACTTATGCTTGTCAGATATGTGTCTGGGTCGAAGATAGGTTGATTATCATTAATGTCTTCAATCGCAATGCGAACAAACGCTTGGGCACTTAATCCACCCTGTTGAAATAAATCAGAATGAATTAAACGACAAATACACTGCATAAACACACTGCACAAATGTACATAATACAGTCCTGCAGATCTGGTGCAATGCATCACTAGAATATAAAACAATCTGTAACTTAACTGAACAATACAACATTTATTAAAAGTAACTGCGACTGCCAGAAAATTGAGTTGCAGGAGTTAACAGAATCTTTAATACAGCTCCAGTGTGCTGGCTATTTCAATGCTTATGGTTCTATTCTCTCATGAATGGGCATTAGATTTAAGAATGAAACTCTTGTGAACACTCTTGTGATCAATGTAAAACACTTGAATGTCCGGCCTCACAAGACTTTATGGTTAATCTTCAGTGGCTGTGTTCGTGTAGGGGGTCATTTCTATCTATACTGCTACAGGACAGCAGTAAAGCTGGTAAAAAAGTTTCCCTAGCTTGTGAAAACTTTACAGATTTAAAAAATATCCACTGGACATCAGGATGAAACCAAAACCTCTCAGAATTTTTACTTAAAAACTAACTATGCAGTAGTCCACTAACAAAGCACCCACCTAGGAAACCCAGTTCCATGTGCTTCTTCTGCCTTATTCAGAGCAGAGACTTGACCCTGGGTCTGCCACAGCCTATTTGCTAACTCACAGGGAATTAGCTATCCTGGGCTGTACTCTCTCACTTTGAGCAGAAAACGCTCATTGACACTGATAAATTTCCTTAAAACAATTCAATTTAAATAAATTGGTATTTTACAATGACATCTGTTTTGCTGAAAATCTCCCCACCAGCTTTAGGATTGTCATTTGAGCAATTCTGCCATTTCGTCCTGTACATATAAGTACATGTTTGAATTTGTGGATATGCACAAGGGCAGCAATTCAACTGTAACTTGTAGCTGGAAATATAAAATACACAGAATTAACTTGTACTTTGGGTTTTTCCCCCACTATACTATCTGGGAAACTTGGCTCAACAGCCTGAACCATGGTTATCCTTCTCCTGTGTAAACTTGGGAATGGGGATTGGCCTGGTAGCTAGATTCAGTATCAACTTTCCCCACTCTCAGGCTTCGACTGCTATGCTGTTCTCCATTTAGCTTGTGGTTTTGCTTCCCTACACTCCCTTGCTACGAGACAGACTCCCAGGGGCCACCATCAGGAAATGGTACAGGGACATAAACTATGGGGCCACTAATTCCACTTTGCACAGAAAACTGAAGAGCAGAAAGAGAATGAAGGCTGGACTCAGAAAGATAATGCTCAGCAAAGTACTGAATTCAATGGCAATACTGTATCTGTGACATCCTGAGGCAGAAAAAGTGACTTCAGAATTATGAAAGATTGAAAGAGAAGTGAAAATTTGCCTCTTAGAGGGATTGTCTTGTAGAAAACTTAGAAAAACATCAATCCATCAACTTAGGCTTGGTTTACATTTCCAAAGTTATTTCTTAATCTATAAAAGCTATTTTTTTTAAGAAGGCAGCTAAGACTCTGGAGCAGTTTTACATTAAGTGAATTCTGTGATATTGGGAAGAATGGAGCAGTGGAGCTTGATACATTAAAACATATACTATATATAGTATACATATATACATCTATATACACAAACACATATGTGCACACACACACAAAACCTGAATTGTAAAGTTACATAAACAAAATGCTTGTGAGTTGAGTACATAATTATTAGAGCTGTGTGAAGCAGCTATGTTTCATTTTGGTTTTGGATTTGGCAATTTTGGAGGACAGCAATTTGTTTCAGTGTTTCACATTACTGTTCTGTTTTGATTCGGCCAAATCTGTTTTGGAGTTTCGACACTGTTTCAGAGATTTGGATTGGCCGGGAAGAGGCAGGCACAGCTAGGTGGCTGCAATTCTCCTGCAGCTCCTCTGGCTGTGCCTGCCCCTGCCCCAGAGTGGGGAGCCACGGGAGAAGCCCCCATGGCTGCCCTACCTGGCCCCAGCCTCCTGGCACTTTAAAAGGAGAGCTGCGGGGCTGTGCTGGACCATTCCCAGGGGAAGCGTCCCTGAAACATTTCGAAACATTTCGGATGGTTTCGTTTTGTTTCAGAGATATTTTGGAGCCTTCCGTTTCATTTTGGATTCAGCATTTTGGGCGTTGAAACAAAATGGCTACTGAAATTTCACACAGCCCTAATAATTATAGAGCTTTATCACACAAGTTGAGTACCAACATGTATAGTAGCAAGCTATATTTAATACCCCCAAATTTACTCATGCGGCCATGGTATGAGTGCAACTTTCCAGATTTCTGCGTGTGTGGTTCTGGGATCATATTTTTTTTTAAATATGGACTCTACTATCAGTGCACAGTCCAGTTATTCAAACAGGAATATACTCTGCAGTGGAATAACAGTCTCTGTTATTTTGATTTTGCTCTGCAGTGGAATAACAGTCTCTAAAAACCTGTATTAAATTTTCACTTTAGTGTCTCCTTGGTTCCAACTTCATATCTATCAAAAACCTAAATTATCTTCTAACTACTTTTGTGTTTGAAGGACTGATATAAAATTTGGGGACATAAACATGTTAATGACAATACCATCTTCTTGTTGGATTCTGAAATTCTGTTATTTGTGGAACAGACTGCAAACATAATGGACTTCCGCAGAACTGAAATTACCATACTGGCAATTTTCTTCTCCTAAAACCAAATTTATGTTAAAACATGAAGTTATCAGTGCGCTTCCAATACAAATAATTTTTTCCTACTTTGACAGATGCTAATTTAATAAATACCTATGGTGTTATTTAGAATAGTTATATTTCTTGTTGTTAAAATTGTAAAACTACTTAAGATTCTCCCAGGATTTCCATTTTAGCTTCTTTTTGGGTCAACTGTAATTTTTTTTCAAAATGAAATATCATATAGAGACTTTATTTCCTAAAGAGACACTTTATTTCCTTCTTAAAATGTCAAAATGTGTTATATGTTGTTTTTAAGTGGTAATGTTGTAATGATGAAAAAAAGAAACAGAATAAGCTAGTTATGTCAAAAACTTTAATTTCAATAGGATTTTAACTAACAAAAGAATATAGATTACATTCTTCTGTGTTTTAATGGCTTCAGTTTAAATAATGAGAAAAAAATTAACTAGCAAAACAAGCCATGTTTGCCCACCTTTAAAAGGGAGAGAAACATAGCACATAAGCAAGCATGTGCATAATTTTTGCTTCCTTTCACAGTCCCCTTCAAGCCCACATCAAGCTTTCTATTAATATTTTTTCATATTCTCCTTTCTGGGGGATTAAAAAACACCTTTGGGATTAAAACTTCCCATGCATGATCTCAACCTATAATTGAAGCATTTAGATTTCCTGAGGGAAATGTTTTTATCGGCTTTTGTGTTACTTGATAGTGAAAAACATTAAAACTTTTACATCATATTAAAACATTTTTGTTGCTCACTAGTAAATAAAAGACAGCAAAATGTTAGTCTGTTATGCTTGGAATGGTAAGAGAACTGCAATGTTAAAACTGTATTTTAAAATAAGGAATGCTGGGAACTGTAAATGTAAAAAATTATGGTTTTTTATAACATTAAATCTTCCACATTGCACAATCTTGATATTTCTGACAGCCCAACTATCTATTTTAGAGTCAGATCACAAAAGAACACTGCAAGGGTAACATTACAATTGCATTTTCCCTATTTATCCGCTTCCACACAGGGACCCCCCCTGCAAAGTTGCAATCTTATGTTCTCTTAGGCTAGAGACAGAAATACACATAAATAGATATAATAATAGAAACCAGTTCAGATCTGTAACACAACAGAAGTTCGGTGCACATAAACCATTTTCGAAATGGCTGAAACCAGTTTAAAATAAACCTGGATGGATGTAGTATCAGACTTAACTGATTTAGATTAAATTGGTTTCTTGAACTTCTGTCCCAGATCCCCTCTAAATTCAAATTAACTCACTGTCCCCAAGCATCCCAGGATGCTTTGAACCTCCCCTAAAAATCCTGCCTCGCAGGGTGAGTGGGCTAGCTTTGGCCCAAGGTGTCTGCTGCAGCCAAGCAGGAAGGTGTGCTCTAGTGCCCCTTGGCTTCTGGCCAGGGCCACTGAAGGCATATGGCTGCATTTCCTGAATCAAAAATGAATGTCTATTCACTTGGTTATTGGTGCAATCTATGCAGTTTAAACTAACCTTCAAGATTGAATCAATTCAGCTTCGGGCTTTTTGACAGTCTGTACTTAGCCTTAAGAACAGAGATTGATTTGTTGCACATGCCAAGTAGCAAACGTAACTCCAAAAGAGAATGCAAAGATGCAGGGCCATCACCAGCTATAAAACTTTCCTGGAGCTACCTTTCAGTACTATAGTTATTAAGGGTGTGCAAAGTGGGTCCTATTCGATTTGGATTTGGTTTTAGCCTGAACCAGGGACAGTGATTTAATTCATTGACTTGGATCACTGTGCCTGATTCGATTTGGCCGAACCTGAATCTGAAGATTCGATGCTGATTCAGAGAATCAGCACTTTGGGCAGGCACAGCTTTAAATATTTGTTCTACACACCTCAAGGTATCAGCTCATGATGCTGGGGTGGATGGAGCATCCCACAGGTGTGCGGGGGGGGGTGGCCCTCCACATGCTCAGTGGCAAACCTGGATGTACTTCCAGTCCACTTCCAGGTCCACTAGGGAGTGCACTGGGGGGTCCCTCCATGCCCTCATGGCTCATCAATCAGCCACAGGGGGACCCTGGGTGCCCCCCTAGGCCCAGGAAGCAACAGTCACTGAGCTGGGGGGGGCATGGGAGGGCCCCCCCAGTGCACTCCCTGGCAGACCCAGAAGTGGACCAGAAGTGCTTCTGGTCCACTTCCGGGTCTGTGCTGCCTACACTTCATACACCCTAACATTGCAGCTTTCACAAGCCACCTGCTATCTAGAGATCTATAGAAAAAATATTTAAAACTGTGTCTATGTCCAAATTGCCAAATCTTTCTGAATTGATTCGGAAGGTTCCGATTCAATTTGGACAGATTAAAGGGTCCTCTGATTTGATGTGGATTTGGAGATTTGGCCACCAAATCGGGCCAAATCTCCACTGAATTGAATCAGGGACCAAAGCTTTGCACAGCACTAATAGTTACACATATTAATCCTGTTAACCCTTGGGCTTAATGTTGTAATTTGGAATTAAATGCACATGTAAGCATATACTGTATGTAAGATATGGAGAGTTAATGTTACTATATACAGTTCTCAGTCTGCCGAGGCCCATAATGTGTGGCAATGAAGGACACTCTCCAAGACCAACTGTGAAGATTACTATGTGGATTGTAATCCACAACTATGAAACTATGAAACCTTTATTCATGCAGGATTCATTCCTTTAGTGTAAGGAACTTTAGTTTCATGACTATTTCTGCAGTAAGAATTTTTCAACACAAAATACCTGGGAAAGCCAATGATGGGGTAGGTAACTTTGGAACTAAAATAAGAGCAAAGCAAAGTATACTTTGCAGGTATGACAGAAGGATCCTTAACCTTAACATTCAATGACAAACATATTAAGATATGTAACTTTAGTGATTCTTTGAAATAGAAAGTTAGTGTCCTTCCTCTCTCCGCAATTAATATATGCTGGATTTTTCTGCAGTTTTTCAAATTGCAATAATATGATGGTCAATCTTGTCCCCATTAAAATCAGTGAGAGCTCCTTCATAGACAATTTAAAGCTCACGTGTCAATTTAACAAAATTACTTTTTTGTGTTTTTTTGTTTCCCCCACTGCTGCTTCTATGTGATATATATAAGAGGCAGACAAGCTCTAATATGTAATGGAGCAGACACAAAAACATGGAGGAAACTGATAGCTCTACTGTGTTGTTTCATTGCAAGATAAACTGTGCACCATCTGGAAAATTCTTCTTTCCTCCCTTTGTCATTGTCTATATGAGCTTCGTATTTTCTTTCCGTTCTTCCTTCCTTTCTCCTTCCTTCACCTTTGTCATCAAAAATAACCTTTCAACTTTCCTCCCATCTTTTTTCATGTATTTCTTCTGCCCATATCCCACAGAAGGAATGTATTATAGTAGTTCATCAGTTCAACTAAGTATCAGTTCTGAAAAGGCCCACATTTTCAAAAGTGTACACAATTTTTAGATATTTTAACATTTGGATACCAACTTGTGGAACTTCACACCTGTTTTTTATAAGTACTACACTCCCACAATGTCAAGTCAAATCCATGTATACTGCAAAGTGCTCAGCATCTCTACAAAAATCAGACCTTAACTGTTCCTAACTAGGCATTCAGAAACTAAGATACTCAAAATTAGTCATCACTTTTGAAAATTTGGTTGTAGCAGGGTAGAAGAAGATAAATTATGCTAACCTGAAAGTGAAAAAAATCTATCATTTAGTGTATCTACATTTTCTTCTTATTCTGATCTGAAATTTATCATCCTGGCTTTCATCTAGTATAATATGCATCTAACATTTCCATCTTTTTTATTATACATTTATCTGCAAATCACAGACTTTTAGCAGGACTCACATTTCTGAGCCTAATTAAAATGAATTGTAAAAAACTCATAAGACTTACAATACTCCCATCTAGTTCAAGGATCCATTATTAATGTATCTAATCTTCCTCATACTGCATAATGTGTACATATTTTTCACATTTATTCAGCAGCACAATTTTTAGCCATCTAAAGCAAGACAGAATATGATCTACAAATAAGCCTGAATGACATTTAACTACATACCAATTTCAGTTTGAAAAAGTTTTTATTTGTTCTGGAGTAATACATTTTTTCAAGTTAAAACTCCTTCTATGTTCAAATAAATAAATAAAAATCTTATTTTACCACTTACAAGCATATAGTGAATCCCAAACTTATTTACATGTCTGGTAAAATTTATGAGCAACACTTACCCCATCTGTAGCTTTCACCAAGAGATCGTAAGTGGCTGGATCCTCTTCCCTATCAATGTCTTGAGATACACAGATGTGACCAGTTCTTGGGTCTACCTGGAATGCTTTAGATTTTTCATAATTATGGAACCCATCATAAAGAAAATACTCTATTTCACCAAACTGGCCTGTATCTGCATCGGTTGCCTTGACCTGCAGGGATGTAATGAAGATAATAATATTTTACTTTATTTTTTATTTCACAATATTTGTTGAAATGAATATTTGATGCCAGTCAAATGTTAAACCAATATTAAAGAAGCATATTTTTTCATGCGGTAGCTGTAACATTTAAGGTACCCAAAAGCACACTCAAAACAAGGCATTAGATGATAGTAGTGCAGCTACTGCATACCACATCAAAAGGATTTTTTTTTTCAATTATGTAAATTGAATTATAAACTTAACAGAATTATAAGCATCATTAAGACACAGACCAATGAAAACATATAGTATCCCTCCAAATTAAAGCACATTCTCTTTTTATCTATCAGAGTGGGGTCTTACAAAAACAAATTACTCACGCAGGGAGGGGGAATGTTGGGCAAGATATTATCTACTATTGTACATTGTGAAATTCACCAGTCGAATCCAAGAGCCTAGTTTGACATCTGATTTGAAGGAGGGCCTTCAATAGCACAAAACAGCCCTAGGTTTAGAGGTAACTATGCCTCTTTATTTATTCATTAGATTTATATGCCTCTCTTCTCAAAAAGGCTCAGGGCAGTCTACAATAAAAGATAAAACAATTATAAAAATGAAATAAAATACTAGGAGAAAATAACCCTCCCCACTTAGAAAGAACTCTCCAAACAATCAACCCTACTCCACCATTCACACTCCTGCTTCTCTCCCCTGCTTGTGACCAAGGAAAGTGCCCTTTCCCTATGCCCAGTCCAACCTTGCTTCTTAGCACACATTCAATACCTCCATAAAAGATAAGAACAATTCCTCCCCAGGCCTACCCATCCCCACTCCCTGTTCTCAGACTGAGGGGAGTTCCTCTCACCCCTTACAGGGTGCGTCTACATGTGCCTCTATGGCACTTTTGTTACCGCACCGTCACTTCGTACTTCCTTTTTAGGCACTGTGTCACCATAGCGATGCACTATAACTGGGGAGCACATCACTATGGCAACATACCTGCAGTGGCACGCTTCTTGCCCACGGATGCTACATCGTCGTAGCACGTTGCTATGGTGACATAGCATCACGTGTAAATGTACCCACTCTCTCTTTCAAGCCACACCCACTCCCAAAAGAGAAGACAAAGGCAAGAGTGCTACCAACTGAACCACTCTTACATAAGTTATATGCCTGCATGATAAAAGACATACAACTCTCTGCAAAGTAGGTGCATAAACTCTTGCCAGTGGGTAATGTCCTTCTTGGCTGCACCTACATGAGTGGACACATGCATTTTGAGGCACTGCAAAACACACCCCATACATGTGATTTGGTTCTTCATGCTGTGTGTTTGCAACACAGAGCTAAATTTAGATCCAGGAAATCCTGATATCAAAAAAAAAGCATGAGAAAAAAAGTGGAGTGCCCCATGCAGCAGCAGTGTTCACCACCCGAAACCAGAGCCTGACTAGCCAAAACCATACTCCAGGCTTTGCATACCCAAGTTACTCCTGCTGGAGCCCCAGGAGGCCCCAGAACTGAAGACAAAGCTGTTAGGGCCAGCTCAGGTACTGGCCCCAGCCTTTAGGGGTATGCGAACCTTTGAGTGCTGATTTGATTCGGAAGAGATTTGGCCTGATTTGGTGGCCAAATCTCTGAGTCCAAATTGAATCAGGGGACCAATTAAAAGGTCTGAATCGATTCACAGTTTCATAGTTCGTAAGGGTCGGAAGGGACCTGAGTAGATCATCAAGTCTGACCCCCTGCCATGGCAGGAAAGAGTACTGGGGTCAAACGATCCCAGCAAGGTGATTGTCAAGCCTTGTCTTAAAGACCCCCAGGGTAGGAGCCAGCACCATTTTGCTTGGAAGTTGGTTCCAGATCCTAGGCACCCTGACAGTGAAGTAGCGCCTCCTGATGTCTAATCTGAATGGGTTCATGGAATAGCCCCCCTAGTAGTGTGGGGCAGTGGGAGGTAGCAGGGATCGTTCCCCACTGGGCAGGAACCGGTGAGTGTTTTTTTTGGTTTTTTTCCCAAAGGTCCGGGAGCTGGGGCAGGCAGGGCAGCCATTGTCAGGCTGGGACAGCAGGCAGGGGATGAGGCCTATGTGATTCAGAGATTCAGCTCCAGCCGTATCTCTGAAACAGATTCAGCCAAAGCACCAAATCGAATCACTGTCCCCCGAATCGTTTGAATCCGAAGCGAATACTAGCCACTTCACACAGGCCTACCAGCCTGTCCTATCCTACCTGGAGCATTTTTCCTTGTGCTAACCTCCAAAAGTGCAGGGGCATGCAGCACATATTTGTTCCGCTGCTTATTCCCCCATGGCAACCGTATGCCCCCACTAATGGGGACGTGGCCCTTGCGTGCAGTCTTGTAAGTGGTTAGGAATGTGGAATAGAATCATGTGTTTCATCTTTCACTTCCATAAGATCTTAGTTTAACTTTACAAAGTTTCAGTGATTAAAAATATGTACAAACATCCAATTCTGCTTGTTTTATGTAGAGTCTTCAATCAAGGGATGACATTCATTCATATCCAAAAGGTAAGCCCAGATTTAAAGTGATACATAACAGGTCTTTACACAAGCCATTTAGGCAAGGATTAATTTAATCCTGCAAAGATTATTTTCTAGGTTTACTTGAGCAAAACAGCTGGATGTTAGGCAAATGCTAACATCTCCAAACACTTAGGAATCCCTAACTGTAAAATGCCTGTTCAAGTGAAGAATCTCAGATGGCAAGATTGAAATTTGCCCATGTACTTTATACAACATAATCTACATGTTTATATCTTATCAAAAGAGTTCAAACATTTTGTTAATATCAGTCAATGTATTTGAGGGTATCAACATTATTATTTTTATAATATACTGTATTATATTACATAAACCAGTCTCAGCTGATCAGGGCACTTTGGCATTCAGAATTTGAATTATCTGAATGTGTACTTTATGTAATTAAATCTTGGGAAGTCATCCCTTGTTATATAATTGCAATTTGTTGTGAGTGCCAGTAAATTATGTATCCTAGCCTTTTCAGCATGATTTACACAATAAAGAAAGAACTAAAGCCTACTACAGTAAAATGGGGATTCATTAGGTACTCCAAAATTTCATGAACTAATTCAACTTTGAGTTAATTTAATAATTATAAAGTTTAAAATGATGTTTCACACCTGAATACATTAAGCACCCAAGTTTAATTAGTTAATATTTTTATATTACATCCACAAGCATACATATGTATGCTTTTATTAAGATTTTATTTCTCCTAGCCATGTGTGTCTTGGAGTCACAACTCTTAGTTTATGATGTTACAGTCAATTCTCTATCGGCAAACTATCTCTTATTTTAGAAACAACTAAAATGACAAAAAAAATCAACATTAGAACACAAACGTGTAAAATGTGTTGGGCAGCATAGGGCAGCCTCAGAAGTTTAGCTGATTTTTCAAGTTTGTGCTGTTGATGTAACATCAACTGCCACCAGCCTGATTTTAGAGAACTCTGATTATCTGAGGTGGAAAGCCTTGATGTTTCAACATTATGTATAAGACAAGTAGGAAACAGAATTAATAATACCTAAGAAATTCATGTACCTTATAGACATCTTCAAAATTTTAAACAGACTATTTAAAAACTTTTCTTATATTAAGTCTTTTAACACACAAAGGAAGACAGCATTTCATATACTTCAGAATGTACATTTACCATGCTGATAGGATTATACAATATAATATATCTCAAGCATAAAAGTTTCTGTGTTAGTATTGGGCAAAAACTATGAAACTTCAGCACTCACCCAAGCATTATATAGTGCTCAAGTGTTAAACTCAGGCTCAAGGCAACTGGTGGATGAATTAAACCTTTTATAAACAGAACAGTTGTGTTCAATACACCTTCCTTTTGATTGCTTTAATCTCTCTAGATAGTTATAAATGTTATTAGTGTCTAACTGGGTTCTTTTATGATATAGAAGAAATTAAATAAAAACTTCCAATCTGGAGCCAACTTGAGGAAAAAGCAGTTATAAAAGAATAATTGAACAGTAAAAGGAACTGATTTGTGTGTGTGTGTGTGCACAAACATGCACGATGCACATGCATGAGTATGCATGCATGTGTGTCTGTGCATGTGTGTGTGTAATATATATTAATATGTTTAATTTGCTACGTGCAATATTTTAAAGAAGGATTTATTTGGAGTCTTGTGTCACTGATTAGTTCTGAAAAAAGATAAATCCTTTATTTTTTCCATCAGAATCTACAGCTCTCAGATTAGTGATATGTAGAGGCCTGAACCAAGATGGGGACACCATCCTATGAGGCTCTGAAAAATTAATCAAACTGGTAAAAGTCACACCGAACATAACTTGGAATTAAACCCAGATTTCTTAAGTCCCAGTCAGTGCCTCAATTGTGGCTCACCTACCCTCAGAATCATGAACTATGATTACAGAAAAATGTGGCTTGTGAAAGTTATTAAGACAATCTTTCCTTCTAAAGTATCTATGTGTATGTATATATGCATGCATGTGCATATTCACACATGTACGAAGAGAAAAGGAAAATTATATGCTTTCACTTCAACTGTTTTATTTCATATACAGTTGTTTTAATCATGAATGGTAAATAATTAATGATTCATTATTCTCTATTGTCTGCAGTCTTGCACATTACAATCTGTATCCTTTTAAAATCTTTGGCTTTGATGTATGTGAGACTGAAAAGGATAGAAGTAAAAGAGGCAGAAACTACATTAAAGCTCTCAAAACAGATTTTAAAGCTAAAGCTTGTTCAAAGTCAATTACTTCCATCAAAATCCCAAACTGACAGATGGCTTAAATGATGCACATGTTAATTAATTTGGGTTCCTTTTTATCACTCTCCAGATTTTCTCAACTTGGTCACTTCAGCCTGTGATGGATCCCTGAAATGCCCAGTATTTGCTGTATATTGAAAGAAACACCTGCTATTGTTTGGACTAGCCCTAGAATATTCTTGTGCCTTGTAACTGTTTGTCAGATGGCTAGAGCAGAAGAAATTGTCATATTAGAATTTCTAGTGCTAAATATAGAAAATTCATCCACAAGGATTTGCCAAGAATCTTGTGGTTATAGAACAATCCCTGCGCCTTTTACTTCCTTGTAATTTGCATTCCACAGCTGTAGTACAGGATACATTTTAGTGCAATCTTGATTAAGATCCAAACCCTCAATCTGGTTAAGATGAAGGCAGAACTCACACTGACTTCAAAAGACAAAAGATTTGGCTATAAAAATGGTTTGCAGTTGTACATAAATTGAGTCTAGAACATTGTTTTTACCTATGTTTTGCTCTGTCTTTTTAACAGAAATATATTGTTGATATAACATTGCTCTGTCATCATCACCGCTATCATTATTTTGAGCCAGATTTTTATTTTCATGCCTGTAATTTACTTTGGAAGGCAGCTTTATGAATTTTATCTACCTGGTCTTGTCTGGAAGTAGTTACATGTGTAAACACTAAATGCTATCATCTACGTTGGCAACTGACAGTGGGTGATTAATTAGGGGTACAAAATTAGAGGTTATTGTTAGAAGTTTAGCCTATTACGTTCACTGGCTTGTTTCCTATACTGTAAAGTATGCAGTCCTTAGACTTTTAACAGTCAGTGAAAAGAATAATGAATGAGGTATTTAAATAAAAATGCTTTAACACAAATTTGAAGGAGTAATCATACTTGATTATAGTTACTTGAATTATCTCTTTGAATTCATTGACAACTGCAAAGCCAAAAAAATGTGACTTTTTCCTTTTTCAAAGTCCTTGGTACACACCCAATTGCTCCCTGTTTATAAGCTTTCTCTTTATGTCCTATCTTATAGCCAACACAGTTTTATACAAGTACTGTTTCAAATCCAGTATGGCTCCATAATTTCCCAGATAAGGAGGACAGATGTGAGGAGAGATCAGGAATTTTAGAAACTACAGTAATGATCCAGAATGCCACAT